TTTCTGGCCAACTGGTACACATTCCAATGTCAAATAAAAATAGTCTAGGGATTTACTACTTAAGGGAAAGTTTATTACCTACTTTAAAAATCATCCATGTCATTGAGTTCATGTGGTATGTAGCTAGAGTTAATTTACAGTTGACTACAATCTGTATTCTCACATGCCATAAGACACTCAACTGTATACCCTAAAGAATAGCTATTTCACAGTCTCTATGATTGATCTACAGAAGTTTTATTAAGTTCAGAAGTCGGTTATCTCACTGGCAAGCATCTAACCAGATTTTGCTCCTTGGTTACATGAACATTCCATTATCTGAATTGTTCCAAGCCTGTGGGGTGAGGGAAGTTAAGGCCAAAATCACTTGGAGGGTGTTAAAAACTCTTAGGTTCTCATGCAGTATGTTCATATTACTTTTATCCCTCACTTCCAAATAAAAACATTCACAAAGTGTGTAACAGATCTTGAAATACCAAGAGAGGTGACCTTTACTAAACACCTTCCAGTTCTCTTGGGAAATAAATGAAGAAGAAAGTTATTCACCACCAAGGGTAATATTCCTCTTTTCCATTTTGCCTGAAAGAAGTCAACAAAGGTAGTTTCAAATTAAAACTCAGTTGGAGCAGCTAAGCTGAAAATGGATCTCTGGGAAGAGGGCAAAGGAGGGGACAGGATGTTGTTCATGAAAACTGGCATTTAATTTTAACCTGTAAGACCTTAATCTATCATTTTCCCCCTCATTGCTCCGGTTACCAGGGCAAACCCTGAGATGCAAACTCATAATGTACGATTTGAGGATGACAGAAAACAGGATTTCACTGCACCGAGCACTATTCCTACACACAGAAGCCTGTGACTCCAGTAAGTTTGAAAAGGGAAAAGGGCTTTTCAAGCAATTTATATACTAGCATTCAGAAGTCACTACACAGCCACCATGGAGCCCAAATGTAGATCCACCTCCAGGGAGATGGCAGGTTTGTGGAAGGCCCACATTAGAAGCTTGTGTTCATCTTCCACACCCAGAAAAACTCTTAAATCTCCTTAAAATAAGAGAACATGGGGAACACAGTCAAATGTGGCCCCAGATTTGTTTCTATGAAATGAAAACTAATAAGCCAATCAAGTGGTATTCTGGTCATCTCTCTCCACTGATAATCTTCATTAAAGCCGCAGACAAAACTGATCTTTAAAAAGAAAAACTGACATTCTTAAGTCAGAGACTTTTGTTTTTTCTTTTCAAATTCTTTAAAGCCACAGTACTTTTTTTAAAAAAAATCTGCTTTATTCCTTAAAAAGACACTATTGAAAATGACATGTACCAAACTCAAACTGCTGGGGACTTTGCTTGCTGGTTCATAAGCAAAGCCTTTTAGAAACATGTTCTATAAAACCTGCAGACTGGAAAAAATAACTTTCAATCTTGATCAATAAGAAGGCCCCTATGACTCTAGTGGTATTATACATGAAAAACAGCCCCGGTTCTGCTGGAGGAACTATGAAGGAAGAAGTTAGCATCGTTTGAATGAATGATTGTTCGCACAGTACCAGAGCAAGTTCTAATGGCTTCATCCACTTGAGGCCTTGGAAATCATGTCACAGAGGTATACCAGTAGGCTGGCATCTACAAAGTACTAAGCATTAACACAGCTTTCCTTTTTACTTTTTCCAGTTTTACTTTAGTCTCCCATTAATATCTCTTTTGTTTTTCTGGTTTAAAAAAATGTGGAAGAATAACCCTATATACACTGGATCCAATCCTTTTTTCTTCTTCAGATAATGCCATGCATGGATTTATTATTCATCTTAATTTAGACAAAAGGCAAGATTTCCCTCCCCACCTCCCCCAACCTTCTGCCCAGAAACTACCATTGGGAAATTAATATGCCAGAGGAACAATGGACTCCTCTCCTGCTCTTTACACCTCCTGGTTGCTAGGAGGCTGGTGGACTCTTAGGATTACTTTAGATTTGGTAGCATGGATAGGGAGTAAAAAGCGGACACAGAAATCGTGGGCCTGCAGATGGAAACTTTCCTAATTTTCCATCTACCCATCCTTTTGCAAGACCTCATCAGTCTTCTTGTTGTCTGATCCAACATCTTGAGCTTAAGGCCAAAGGTCAAACCCACAGCTATAAATCACATTTCACACTGGCAATTACTTATTACTAGGTAGAAATGGTGTTGTTTCATTATCAAGCTATCACACATGCTTACAATCCTGCTTAAGGCACCTACTGTGTGTTACATAGGTATACCAAGTCTAAGGGTGTCTTTTTCTAAAAGTTCCTTGTAATTTCTCATTTACCAGGCCTTTTTTTTAATGCTTATTCTTCTTAATGATCAGGGATATTTGCTATGGGAATTCTAGAAATAACTTTAGCTGAAGTTTCTTTAGGCTCAGTTGAAGTTTCTTCAGATTTTGGCTTATCTTGTTTTATGAACACAAATACATTTACCCACAGCAAAAGAAAGATGATAACATGAGTAATCACTAAACCAAATGACTGGACAAAGAGAAAGGAAAAAATATTAAAAGTTGCTTCTTTTCTATTTTATATGCCAAAGGTTCTGCTCGTACCCATAGTGACTAATTTGATACATTTTAATCTCCTAAGGGGAAGAGAACTTATAAATGATCTCCAACTGTTTCAATACAGCATTGACTTCTATTAACTCTCCTATGTTGAAAAGATCCTTATTTGAAAAGAAAATAGATTAGATACTCATCCTGCCATGCTACATTTCCCCAAAACTTGCATATAAGAAAGATTCCATCTACTCTTTTCAATGTTGATCGTTGGTGTTTGTCTTCATATTTACTGTTTCTTTCCATTAACACCAACACCTGCTTTTTATTCCATGTACTAGCTGACATCTAACATAAAGGAAAAATAATATCTCTCCCTCCCTATATAAAACTCATATATTCTATCCAATCCAGTGACCCCATAAGGATGTAGAACAAAGTGCTTTACCCTGAGTGGGCACCTCATAAAATGCTGAATGAATGACACAGCTCTTCAGGGGTTCTTGTATTCTCAGCAGTAACCTAACATGGAATCTGCATGAACAGCCACCCACCTGAAACAGGTTAACTTTCAGGATCACCAAAAGACCAACTCACCACACACAGATCTAGAGCTGAAACCAGAGAATCATATAAAATTAAAAGCATCTTCCTTAAGCCCTGGAAAAATGTCTTGCAACACCAGAAACAGCAGAGAGTTCTTCTACAAAGATGGAAAATGTAATCATAATGAAGCAATGTCAAGAGAGATAAAAATAGGCTCCATGGGAATGTGCCTGAAATTATTAGAGTCTTGCAGGTTTGTTGAAGAAATGGTGGGCACTGCCCCCCAATTGCTTTATGCTTACTTTTGGCACTGTTTATTTAAGAGGGACAGAAAAGGGGGGGGCAAAATGGAATGAAGACATTCAACCCCTAAGCATGTGAAGCCTGGATTCACTCAGTACAGACATGGATCTATGTACATATGTATTTTGTGGTTAGATTTGGATCTAGGTATATTTTAGAATTTACTGACACAAGTCTGAAGAATACAGTAACCACAGCAGGGTCTTAAATTACTGAAGTATAAACTGCAGTTGTCACTTCCTTTACAAATTTGGCTTTTCATGAAAGAGAAAAATCAAGGAAGCCTTATTGCCAAAATAGTAGAACATCCTTCTGTCGCCTGATTTTGCAATTTTTAAAAAAGAAAGATAAGTTATTATACTTAGGCTTTGTATGCATGGAAATGTGGTCACAAGACATTGTTAAAGCATGAGATAGTGACCCCAGTTTAAAAGGACTTGCTGCTTTAGGAGGAAGACAGTAAAGCTTGCCTGTAAGAACCAATCACCAGCTTAAAACCATCTTTTCCAGTTAAGACAGGACTTAGAATGATTTGGTATGTGATTTAAAATAAAAACCTTGTTTCTTCCATTACACTGGATCTTAGAAGCAAACCAATGATTTTCACAATGAAAAACAAATAATAAAAAAAAACAACCCTGATGTCTTCCATATCATTACAGACAAGTGGTAAGCAAGAAGGAAGGGCTGGGAAAGCAATAAAAGATTTCTGGGATTTTCCTCCTCCAGCATCTCTGGGTTCCCCCATCGCAAACCAAAGCCACTCTGTCGTTATTTCCACAGGGAACGGGGCCCATTCAGAAAGGCTTTTCAGGGCACACTGCATTTTTAAGACGAAATCTATGTTGAGGCCTCCACTTCCACTGACCGTTTTGTTTGTCCTTCCTGTCTGACATGCAGATTCACGACACAGCCTCCATTCTTTTCCAAGCAACCGAATCCAAAGCCACATAGGTTCAATCCACGCACAATCAGGCGGAGTCTTCAATCCACACCATTAACCCCACAGAATGCCTTCCATGAGCTCCAGCCTAGTTCCTTGCGTGCAAACCGGACGAGCCTGAGATATCTGCGTGCACCCCTCTTCCCCTGACTCGAACCCAGAAGGGCGCGTGGAACCTGCTCCCATTTTTTTTTATTTTTTTAAAGGCCGATGAGAGGATTGTGTAAATGACCACTAAGGTGGACCTGGCCACACTGCAGGAGCCTGGGAGCCGGGTGCTGCGGGAGACCCCGAACTCGGGCTCTCGCACAAAGCTCAAGGAGGCTGCTGCGTTGGGGGGGCTTGCGGTCATTGATCCCCCTGCAGCCCCCAAACGCCTGGCTCGTCTCCCCCTCCCCCACCGCCTCCACCCGCCCGCAACCCCCGATTTCACCTAACTAATAGCACTCCAACCTCATAGGAAGAGGGCCTGCTGTGGATCTTGCAGAGGTACAAAATGGTGGATGTGAGCTAATTTTTCCCCTGCTTTCCCTATAACTTAGCGCATCCATCACCGCGGGTCCTCGGCTCCAAGCAACCCCCCCTCCCGCTTCCCCCCCCCTCCCCGCCGCCCAGCCGCCGCCGCGCACCGAGCACGCCCCGCAGACCCGGCCCCGAGGCACCGCCGCCGTGACCAACCTGATGTCATGTAGCCCCGCGAAGCCTGGGGCGCGAAGGCCGCGGGGAAGCGCTTGTGCAGACGGTAGTCCTTCTCGCTGCGGGACCTCATGCGGTCCGAGGCCCGGTCTGAGAAATCCGAGCTAGGCCAGGCTCGCCGCAAGGTTGTGCTCCGGGTCTTCTTCATGGTGTGGAGGGCGACCTGCTGCCCCCGATCGTGGGGCCTCAGCGCCGGGGCGCAGCGCGCTGCTTCATCCGTCTACGGCGGGCACGACCCGGGCGGACTCTGCGCACATTTTCCCAGCCCCTCCTCGTCGTCGTCGGCGTCTACACCGCCAGCAGCGGGTCCGGCCCTCCCCACGCCCCCCCACACCCCCACGGCGAAGGCTCCGATTTTACACACGTCCCACAATGCATTACACTTCATTTGCAATCCGCTCGGCTTATAGCTTCCAGATTCCTGGGGGGGAGGCGAAAGGCACGTTTTGGAGGCTCCGCGGCCAGGAGGAGGCGGGGAGGGGGCGGGCGGGGTGGGGGCGCCGAGACTTACAGCGTGAAAGCAATGGGAGCGCAGACAATGGCCCGATTCAGCGGCCGGAGTGCTTAGCCAACTGTGTGAGCCACGGCACAAAAGACCCAAACAAATGAGGAAACCGAGGCCTCCGGGGCTGACCCGGGATCCGACACCCGGGAAGCCGGAGGGGCGGCGGCGGCGGCGGCAGCCCCACTGCGCCAGGAGGCTTTCAGCGCCCGGGCGTGGGGATGACAGTGTCCAAGCCGTGTCCCTCCGGGCCTAGCAGCCGCGCGGCCCGCAGCACGCCCGGGCGTCCACCGGCTCTGCCCTCCCCTGCAGTCCCAAGGCGGCCGATCTTCCTTTCCCGAGGCTCGGATGGGGCGGAGGGGTGGGGTGGGGAGCGCAGGGAAGCTCGGGGATCCGGCCCGGCTCCGCAGACGGCAGCTGCAGCCAGGCGAGGCGAGGCTCCCGGCGGAATCCAGGAAGAGCCCGAGTCGTGCAGGCGACTGCTGTGGCCCGTCAATCTCCTTGCTCCCGAGGCTCGGGGCGGTGCGCGCGGGGGAGTGGGTGGCGGGCTGCGCCCACACGCACGTGCGCCCCCCTCCACCTCCACAGGCACGCTCCTACTTACTGACCCCGGCGGCGACGGGAGCCATGGCCGCCGACCGCCCCCCGCGCGGCAGCCCCGCGCACCGCTCCGCGCCGAGAGCGCCCCAGAAGCGCTGCGGAAGGGCTTCAGGAAGCAGGAGGGCCGCCCCGGCTCCGGCTCATCACCCCTCCGCCGGCCGCGGCAGCACCGATCCGGTCAGGCTTCTCATTTGCATGGAAAACACCCTGCAGCCGGCGAGGACCCCGGGACCCGGGCTGGCGCCCCAGCTTGGAGAGAGCGCTTGGGTAATTTACATATTTTAGGGTGGCCCCTCCCTCTCGCGGAGAAAGCGAGTCTCCGTGGGAACGGGCAGACCGGCCGCGTCCAGCCCGGCCCACCTGCCACGACCCCGCGGGGAGCCGCGGGCCGAGGGCGGGGCTCCTCCGACCCGACCGCCCCGTTCGGGGGGCGCCCGCGGCACCCCCGCCTGGAACGCGCCTCCGCGGTTCCCCCTCGGTCCCCACGAGCGATCGCCACTGCCAGCGGGCCAGGCGGCGTGCAGGTCCCAGTTCCTGAGCCCCGCTCCGCTCCGCACAGCTGTCTCTGGTCCCGCAACCAATCGCCAGAAGACAACACTGCTGCGCGCGCCGGGCGCGATGGAGGGGGCGAGCGGGGCGCCCGCCGCCCCGGCCAGGCGCTGGGCCCGGGGCGCCGAGGTCACGCCGAGTTAAAGGCGCCGGGCCACACGGCTGTGAACCCCAACCAAGCTCCGCCACTGCTATTCCGCCCCTCCCCGCCCCCCTTCCTGCCTCCCCCCTTTCCAACTGCTTATCTCTTCCATTGGGGTTTCCAAAAATGCTTGCGAGCTAGAAACAAGGAAAGAGACATCTGATTTCCTTTTTCGATGCTGTATTTTATTTCACCTTGGAGCATCTTCTCCACACACACCCCCCCTTCACCACCCCCTCGGAGAGGGAGGGGATCTGTGACAACGCAAGCTTCACACTCATTTTTATACTGTTTCCTACAGACGGATTCCGAGATGCAGAGACAGGGGTATTAAGCCTTGGTAGAGACATATCTTTAGGCAGAGATCGTTTATGAATTTTAAAAGCCAGAGGATTCTAAATGGTTAAGATTCGGAAGGATTTAGTACAATCTGATGCTATTCTAAGGACTGAATTAGGGGAGAAGGGCAAAGAGGTTCCCTGGGGGACCTCGGAGAGGGGTGGGGCATAGAATCTAGAACTAGAACTTGGTCATTTAGTTTCTCAGTCTCCCCTCTGTAACCTGCAGTCAGAATATTCTTATCGCTAAAGATACTGGGGTAAATTAATACATAGCCACTCAGTCTCACAGAAAACTTTTAGTTACACCAATCAATATGGATTAGTAATTGTAAAGCAATTGACTAATGTTCAATACTGTTTTTCTAAAGTTAGAATAGTTCCCCCAAAAGGCACATTTTGTGCACATAGCTCCTTTAAGAGAAATGCCAAGAACAGAAAAAGTACAGTTTGAGAACTATACTAGAGCAAATTTGGAAAGAACCTTAAAGGTGATTTTTTTTTAAAAATTGTATTAATGAGGGCAGAGGATATTGACATTTAGATAGCTCCAACAATTACTCAGAACTTCCCGTCAGAACTTCACATGCGCCGCAGTGGTTATACCACGGATAATAGTTATGCTGCTACAGCTACTGGTGATAGGTGTAGCAACTGTGATATTCATTTGGCAGGTAATTATCAATACCCAGCAAACAGAACACCATAACTAGCCCTCTGCGGCTAATGATCTGTGGAGATGGGACAGAGTAAGCAACTAAGTGCAGAGACTATGCTAAATTCAATGAAGAAAACGCACTATGGGAAATAGACGGGCAGAGTAAGGAGGTCTACCCAAGCAAAGATTGGGGAGATGGGATTCCAGTACATGGGACTAGCCTGTACAAAGGACTGAGATTAGAAAGAGTTTGGCTTCTTCAGAAGAAAGGGGGGGGCGGGGAGGGAAGGGCCAGTGTAGCTGGAATAAGAGTAAGGTCCATGATGAGGTCACAGAGAAAAGAGAGAGCCAAATCATGCAAGGACTTGCAGGCCAAGCTAAAGGCTTTATATTCCATTCCAAGTGCAGTGTGCGTGGTATGAATCACTACATCATTAGAAGCAAAGAAAAAGTGATAGTTTTAGAATTTCTATTCAGAAGGGGGCTTAGAGACATGAGTCTGTCCGAACGGAAGGGTCAACTGGGAAAATCCTAGGAAATATGTTTGAATCTGTGTGTGTGTGTGTGTGTGTGTGTGTGTGTGTGTGTGTATTGGGGCTTGAACTCGGGGCTTCAGGCTCTCACATAGCTTTTTTACTCAAGGCTGGCACTCTACCACTTGAGCTATACCTCCTCTTCATGCTTTTTACAGACTAATTGGACATAAGAATCTCGGACTTGTCTGCCTGTCAAACTAGGATCCTTAGATCTCAGCCTCTTGAACACCTTGCATTACAAGTCTGAGGCCCTGTATCCATATGTTTGGATCACTCTTGACTTAAAATTGAGAAAAAACAAAACAAAACAATTGTTTTGGACACTTTAGAGAGGACAACTACAGCCGTGCTCAGCCAATTCTGAAAATAGACCTTACAGAAGAATTGGATCAAAAAAAGTAACTAAAATGAATTCGCTGAATCAGAGCAGATGATAAAGATGATAAAATAAAGCAGGAGAGGTAGGGACAGTCAAGAAATGTATTCATCCAAATCGGTAACAGTGCTGTATGTGGTTATGAAGGGTGACATCTAGCAGACAGCATATTGTGAAGCCAGTGCTATTGGAATCCAGTGGATGGGAACCGGACCTGACTCAGAGTATCCACCTTTGGCATGAAAATATTCACTGCAGTCCAAGGAAATGAAACCTTGTCCCTACTCCTCATTTGAGGCCTCACAGGGAACCTGAGACTATCATATGTATCAAATGCAGGTCATAAACTATCCATCAGGTAATCTCAGTCTTGGACTCTAGTATCCAATACTGGGAAAGCTTACTTACTATCGAAGAAATCAGTGTTTTACTATTAATGTTTTTAAATCAGGGTTAAGAACACTTCACATATGTAAAATTTATGTATCAGATTAAAGGTGCTATTGAGGCAGATTTACTTTGAAAATCGAATTCAATTGTGTAACTGAGTTAAGATTTGTGATCTTCAATTGGAAGGTATAAGAAATTTGTCTTTGAATCGCCCCATTTGTTAGGAAACGGAAAGACTTGGAAAAAATTATATTAAGTGAAGTAGCCAGGCCCAAAAACACATAGGTCCTATGATTTCCCTTATTTGCAATAACTAGTATATATCTGGGACAAGGAGAAAAGTCAAAAGCTATGACCAGATAAGACGATGTTAAGTGAAATGAACCCCAAGATAGGGGCACAAGTGGTTTTTTCTTTCTTGCTATTGTTTCTAATGTATTCTAATGTTTCTAATGTAATGTTTCTAATGTATCACAATGTACCATGTGATTTTTTTTTTGTTGCTTTGTATGTTCCTCCCCCATGGTATAACCCCTGTTCACTGTATTTGATGTCAGCATAATTTGGGGAGGGGAAGGGAAAAAACAAAATCTTTAAACAGGGATACAGGTTGACCCATTATATCAATGAGATATACAAGACACTATTTAGGCCGGGAGTAGGGGGTGGGGTGTACTTGAGGAAGTGGGGGGGAAGGGATGTAGGGAAAAAAGCAAAGAAGGAGGCAACAATGCTTGATAAGAAATGTACTCACTACTTTGCTCATATAACTGTAGTCCCTCTGTACAGTATTTTTACAATAAAAAACTTATTTTAAAAAAGAAATTTGTCTTTGAAACTCTCTTCATTTAAGACTTTATAGGAGTTTTAGTGATTAAATGAGTTTGTTACAAAAACATGAATATCACAGGGCGAGGGACACTTTGTCCTATTTATGGTTGCTCATTGTCCTTACAGTTGTCACAGCTACAACTTCATTTTTTTGGGGGGGGTCCGGTCGTGGGGCCTGAACTCTGGGCCTGGGCGCTGTCCCTCAGCTCTTCAGCTCAAGGCTAGCACTCTACCACTTGAGCCACAGTGCCACTTCTGGCTTTTTTCTTTTTGCTTATGTGGTGCTGAGGAATGGAACCCAGGGCTTCATGCATGCAAGGCAAGCGCTCTACCACTGAGCCACCTTCCCAGCCCACAGCTACAACTTCTTTAAAGATGATATACAAATGGCCAACAAGCACATGAGAATCTCCAGTATTACTACACACCAAGGTGACCATTACTAAAAAGAAAAGAATATAGCAAGTGTTAGTAGTAACTGCACTGTTGGGCAGGAATGCACAATGGAATACTATCCAGTCTTCAGTAGGAAAGATCTGATTGCAACAAGAGACATAAACCTTGTGCTTTAGCACAAAAAGATACTGTGTGACCCCATTTACATGCAATTATCAAGAACAGTCAAAATCATAGAGACCAAGTATGGTGGTTGCCTAGGGCTGGTGTGGGAAAAGGAGAGACATTGTTTAATTGGTAAAGAGATTGATTATTACCAGATAAAGATGGACCTTAATGCATGCTCTTCTGAATGTATTCCATTTCAATGAACCATAAGCTATTCTGAATGCATTCAATTTCAATGAACCATAAGCCTAAAAATTGTTAAGACTGGAAAATTTCTTCTATATATCTACTTTAAGAAAAAAAATTAAATTAAATACATCAGATTTACAAGTACAATTGAAGTGCTTAAAAGAATACATTTAACC